TATTTATTTGTTTTTTTGTTGTGGCCGGCGCCAGCTCCTCATGTGGTCTTTGGCTTCCATGGTCACCATTTTTGTCATTACAAAAAATGTACTGCTGTTTGATTGCTGCAAAGCTAATTTAACCCGATAAATAAATGACCAAACAAAGTTGTATTTATACAACTATAATGTCTGCGGATATTTATTTCTCGCTTCTCCATTATGTCAGGAGTATGTATTGCATATGTATTACACAAATAAGTTTAAATCCAGGTTGTTTGAAATATTGAATATTTTTGGGGTTGATGTAATCAATGTTAGTGAGGATTTGGAAATGAAATGAAACAAACTCATTTTGAGTCCCTTCAACATGACTGAACAGAAGGTTGGTGAAATGTGTGTGTGTGTGTGTCTGTGTGTGCGTGTGTTTTAACTTTTCAACAACATGAAATATAAAAAACACATTTGACGTGAAATCAACGGCTTAAATTTGACGATACAAACCGTCTGTTTTCGGTCAATTATATTGCACCACTTAGCACCGCTTGCCGCCTTTTATTCCTCCCGCGTAAGAGGTTGTTTGTTTTATTTGCCGGCGCGTGCCTGCTGCCCGGCTTCCAAAGCGATCCATTGCGATGTTTATGTCAATGTCAGTGTTTGCAGTGTCCCGGTGCGAATCGGGAGGAAGGCTGTCTCGCTTTTGGGGCCGAAGAAGACCAACTGCGGGCGGGTCAACGTCACTGAGGCAACGTGCCGAGTTCGCCTCTCGCAAGCTGCTCGTCGTTGACGTCTCCTTGCCGGCTACCGTGTCGAGCAGAACGCCCTCCTTTCCCGGTAATCGATTTAAAACAGCCTCTCCGTGAGCACATGTGTTGCTTTTTAACTTCCTGATGTGCCTCTGCTTATTTTCATTCGTTTATTTTTGTGTAGTCACGTAACAGGTTCAATTAAAAGGAGTATAAATAATATGATCAAAATGGAATCATAAAAATTGAGGGAAGTGGTGAGAAAATGATGGCCCGCATAGTTTTTAGATGATCAAGAGTTCTGTTGTCGTTGCATTCATTTTACTTTTAATTGGTTAGTTAAAATGTATTGAATCATTATAAATTGTATCTTTTTGTTTTTTTCTCATTAAATATCAGGCACTCTCTGAATTACAATTCATAAAATTAGAAATATTTAAAGAGGCAGTTTTACATACAAATGTGTCAAACGTATCAAATAATTTTAATTCAATTTTAATGATACTGTGGTATTTTAAAGGGGATAGTGACTTAATTTGCAAACACAGCTAGCAAGTTTTGACCTAACCGAGGAATGACTGCCCATATGGAGGTAGGTGACAACTGACTCGTTTCCGCCGTTTTTCGTAAGGCCATTTTCATGTGATCGCATTGCAGGGTCTGTTTTGGACTTCTCTTGTAAATCTTATCTTGGGCTTGTAAAAAAAAAAAAAAAAAAAAATCAGCTTTGGGCATCTATTTTTCAACATACGAGATCATTTTTAGGTATTTGGGGAGATACAGATGAAATGTTGTCAAATTTTTACACTGCGGAAGAAAGCTATGCACGACGGTAACATTTGTGTCACTTGACCTTGAATGGGGCGAGACGCAGGGGAGGGAATAGGCCATCTGTCCGTTGCCGGCGATGGTGCGGGAATCTCCGGTAGCCAAACAAACAACTGGCAGACAAGGGTCGCATGGCGGAGAGTGCTGGAGCCTATCCCAGCCGTCTTCGGCCAGTAGGCGAGGGACACCCTGAACTGGTCGCCAGCCTTTCACAGGGCGCACGTAGACGAATACCGATTGGCGCTCACGACCACACCGAGAGAAATTTGTCGCGCCCAAGCAACCTGCCATGAATGATTTTGGAATGCGTTATGCGGGAGGAAAGCGGGGTACCCAGAGAAAACCACAGTGAACATGGCACACAGGAAGACCGGAGCCGGAATCGAACCACGCACCTTTGCGCTGTGAACCGGACGTGCGCCGCCCATAACTCCCTTCATTGTTAACATATCGACAAATTTCAAACACCGTTTTATTCCTTCATTCCATCTCTTGCCGATGACATTGTTCTTATTTGGGGAAAAAAAAAGATTTTAATTTTGTTGTGACGTACGTCCATTTAAAAAAAATCGAATGTGGCCGTTGAGTCCGCCCACCCCAGATCTCGACAAGTTAAATCAGCTTCAGACAACCGTTTGTCCATGTAGTTAGTCCCGACATATCTACACACAACAAGGTCGTTTGGTTTGAAGGTCAAACATCCACATGCTTCAAAAGAATGGAGAGGATGTCATTCAGGGGTCCTCAGCGAGTCTGACTTTGCGCCAACGCAGGTTCCTCTGACCCGACCACTCCGTGACACCCCACGCATGCGAGGTGACACAGAGGACAGCCGCCCGTCCTTCCGCCCCCAGAAAAGCGTCTTCAGCTTCCCAAAACGCACCCCCCGAGCAGCTAACCTCGGGGTCGCCGGCTGTCAATCAGCGCCTCAGCTGCTTGTGCGGCTTCTGGATACGGCGCGGAAGACGTGAAGAAGGCCCCTTGAGAGAATCCCCCCGGCTCGGCGTATGGGACCATCTCTGTGCATTCATGGCGGGTAATTCGATTAGCCATCCTTCTCTTATTCTAATGCAAACCTCAGGTTGAATCGCCACCCTGTACGTGAAAGGAAAAGCCCCGGGCCACGATGGCCGGACACAG